GTGGGGTGGGGTGGGGTTAGTCAAGCATCAAAATGGTCACCCAACTCAGCTATTTAATCATAAAAACTACCACAAACTTGTGCCCCAAGAGGTCAACTATCTTGGAGCCTACGGTTTCTGCCTTTGTGGTGCTCTTTTTCTTTCAATATAAAAATCAGCAGGAACATGGAGTCAAACTCTATTTAAAGGTTCTTATTTTAGCTTCCAAAGTCACCCTTATCTGCTTCATTCCTTCCCCAAAAATGGGTCGTCAAAAGAAGAAGGAAAAGCTAGTCAAACCTCAACAAAATGTTAAAAACTTAGTCGAGCCATGGCCAAATCTCCCTCAACAACTCCTCAACTTTATTGGAAGGCAAAATCCTAACGAACCTGATCGAATGCAAAACATCAGCTTTCGCGGTGTTACTAAATCATGGAGAGCAGCATCTAAGCAATGTTTCGCCAATGCACGATTACCATGTCTTGAACTTTCTCATAGCAAAGGTTACTACCAGTCCAAGACTCAACAAGAGCATACTCTCAACATCTCATTTCGACCAGGTGAATATTGGTGGTACGGTAGAAGACCATGGGATAAACCTTGGACTCATTTTCATGGTTGTTCACACGGGTTGATTGTCGCTGGAGGAAAAAATCCAGCAGATTACAATCTCATGGTTCCAACAGCAGTAACCAGTTATTGGACTATTCCTCTTTGGGACACCACTTTCCATTCAAGTTTGCAACTCTGTCTTCAAATCCTTCAAAAAATTACAAGGACTGCTCTGTGATGGTTTTAACTGGCTGTTCCAATCCATTTTTCGTGGTTTATCAGATGGGGCGCCAATTCAAATGGATTAAACAAACAAACAGTCTTGTCGATCCAAATTGTTCAAAAAGACAACTTATGATACTTACTAATGCTATTGGCTTTGAAGGAAAGTTTTATGCATTAAGTTTGCAGGGTACTTTAGCAGTAATTGAAGAGGTTGAATATGAATTTCAAGTCACTAAGTTAAGCAGAAGCCACGCTGTTCCAGCAGTTTTCTCAAAACACTTCACAGAGTATATTCTTGAATCCAATGGAGAGATCTTGTTGATTTTCTTGATATCAAAACAATCAACTAAGAATGTGGACAAAGTGGAAGTATACAAGCTACAGATGGATGATCTATCATTAGTAAAAGTGGATAATCTTGGAAATAGAACAATATTTGTAGGGAGTAATTCTTGTATGTCAGTTAATGCAAGTCAACTGGGCTGCAAAAGCAACTGTGTCTATTTTAATGAGGATGCGACTAATACGTGGCAATTTTATGAAATGGAAAGTGATACTATTTTGCCATGTTTTGATGAGTATGGTTGTCAAACAAGAAGTCCAGTATGGGAAGAGCCAATAGTGGAGAATAATTGCTCGTAAGAAGAAAAAATGTGTCAAACTCAGTTTTCAATTGTCAATAAAAAATGCATTCACCTTCGCACCTTCCTACCAAGGGTTATGTACTCATAAATCTGTAATCGTGTCATGTCTTGTCTGATTACCTTACCCCAATACTTCTTAAATGGTTAGGGGTTAATGTTTGAGTCCTCACTATCCTTTCTATTTATCATAGCCCTGGGGCTTAATTACTCGATATTGTTATTGCATGTCATCTATTTTATGGTTTTTATGCTTCTACTACTATTTCTATGGTTTCTGCTAACGTTGCTGATGTCTTCCTGAGTTGAGGGTCTATCAGAAATAGTCTCTCCGCCCCACCAGGTAAGGATAAGATTCCCGTACACACTACCCTCCCCAGACCCCACTTTGTGAGAATTTATTGGGTCGTTGTTGTTCTTATTGTATTACCAATAATTGCTTGTCAAAGGAACAATACGTCAAATCTAGTTTGTCACTTTGTCTTTTGTTGTACAAGTATTAGAAAAGTAACTACTTTTTAAAAATTGAAAGTTACACAACTTTTCCCAAATATAATAGAAATTTACTAAATAATTCTAATAAGCTAACTTAAGTGGAATCTTATTTTCTGAAAATCCTATTTTTTTTTTGAAAAAAATCTTTTGCCATACCAATAAATGACATCACAATTAACCAAACAATCAATATATGCGTCTGTACTCGACAGAGATATGGAGTAAGGTACTAACATGGCTGGGAATAACAAGACAAGTTTATAGCTGGGAAGATAAAGTTGAATGGGCCACAAAAAATGTAACTGGGAAGGGAGCTAAAGCAGAACTCTACAGGTTGAGCATGGATGGTGCAGTATATAATGTATGGATTGAAAGGAACTGCAGAGTTTTTCAACAAGTAAAGAGAGGAAGTGGGGATATCACAAGGCAGATTATACGTGAAGTCCATTGTCGAGGAAGTATACATAGCACATTGAAGAAAGAGCTACAATTTAGAAATTTTTACCCATAGCTTAGTTGAAGATAGGTGTTTAGAAATGATGTACTAAGTTTGAGGCCATATGTCCAAACTCAACNTATATATATATATATATATATATATATATATATATATATGCGTCTTACTTTCTGGCATGCTATTTAAAATATAATATTATTTTTTATATTTAGTAATTCTTTAATTTTAATATCCTACATGGCATGTTTAAGACTATAAATGATACTTTGGTACATTATATGCATTTTTAATTTAAAATCAAGATAAAAAAGCTTTATGATTTATTAAAACCCGAACTAGTCAAACTAGTAAGACATAAATTTAAAGGAAAAGAATACTTATAATTTATGCAAATTAAATCGTTTTAAGAGCCTTAAAATATATTTAAGGCAACCTGATTACACAAATTAAATTTAATTTGCATAATCAGAATTAGGGGTGGCAAATGGGCGGGTTGGGCTAAATTTGGGCGGGTCAAGATGGGTTAGGTCAATAAATGGGTCATTGCCCAACCCAACCTAAAGTGTACTTAAGTTAAGATGGGCTAAACAATGAGTCATAACCAATCCGCCCAACTTGACCCATGTTTTTAAAACCATGGTCANTGGTGCAGAAAAGAAAAACAGAAAATTGAAAATACAAAAAATAAAGTAAAAATATTCTTTTAAAGGGAGGAGTGCAGGGGGATGGATGATGCAGAAAAATAAAAGAACATAAAATTAAAATACAAAAAAAAAAAAGTAAAATTGGGGCAACTAAATAAATTTCTATATAAGTCGTGTTGAGATACCTTTTATTTTGGGTGAGTTTCATGAGTTTTATTTGGGCTGCTTAATGAGTTATAAAATATAATGTGTTAACTTGGGCTCAGCCCAAATTAACCCATAAACTAAAATTATGTAACCCAACCCATTAATTTCTTAGCGGGTTAGATGAATTTGGGCTCAAATTACCGCCCCTAATCAGAATATCTGTTCATTATACTTGGATATCAACCTAATTACTTGGTCACTACTCAGCAGATTATTTTCTTTTCTAATTAATAGGAAGTTTTCTAACTTAATTTTAACACATTAGGGATCGTTATTAACACCAAAATAACATGCCGAGCTTATTCCAATAATAAAATTCTAGATTTGTCTATCATTCTTGTATAGGTTTTGCTTTCTTCTCCTGGCTTAATGGAGAATTCGAATGCGAATGGTGAATATGAAAATGAGAGGATTACTACTTGTCTATGGATGCTACCGGAGGATTGTATTGCGAAGATTTTGGCCTTTACAAGCCCTCTGGACGTTTGCCGTTTTTCTTTAGTCTCTAAACCGGTTCGACCCGCGGCTGAGTCGGATTCCGTTTGGGAAAAATTCTTACCCTCCGATTATGAGTCCATCGTTGCCGGATCAATGAGTCCGATACCCGATTTTCATTCAAAGAAGGATCTCTATGTTCATCTATGCCATCATCCCCTCTTAATTGATGCAGGTCGCAAGGTATAAAATGAAAAATGAAAAACTAGTAAAAATATGCTTCATTGATTTCTTAATTTTCGATGCTCACATCATTCGTTAGTTCTGCTATAATTGTTGATACATTAACAAAAGGATTGTAATTACACTTCTAAACATGGAAAAGAAAAAAAAGGCAACTGAATTTGTCTGCAATCCCAATCTCACGAGGTATTTTGGGTTTGGGGGTCCGAGAAGGGAAGTTAAGATTTTGAATTTTTGGTTCTGAATTTAGAAAAATCAGCTTTCTGGATAAATTATTTTTACACATTAAGTGAAATTTTTTAACACAAATATTGCCGAAAGTACTAGCTTCTACCGAACTATAAGCGGACTATTGTGAAGAGCATGGGATTGACTATGGAGGATGTCCTTAAAAATATATTACTTAATAAATTTAATAAAATAAGAAGTTTGACTCTTGAAATTCTAGTGTATTGTATAAATTGGGACAGAGGGAGCATAAAATATGTTTTTATAAAGTAAGCTTGTGATCTTTTTTTCTCACTCATGGGGTGTCAATTGTCAACTTGTAACTACTAAATTATTGCTTATAAATCCTACCATACTTGTTTCCCTTGGGTAGAAAACAAAAATTAACATGAAAACTTAAGTTGGTAGTAAAATTTTCCCCCTGTTTGCCTCAAAATTTAGTGCTTTTTATATTTATCCTTTAAGACATCTCTTGTCGTCTTGTTAATCCACTATAGGTACATGTTAAGCTTGTCGTCTTTCATTAGTTGTGCGTTTCTTATTTTATGCTATTGTTCAACAGAGTTTCTCACTGGAAAAATGGACTGGAAAGAAATGCTACTTTTTAGGTGCAAGGGATCTTAATATTGCATGGGGTGATACACCAGACTATTGGAAATGGACTTCACTACAAGAGTCCAGGTTTGCCATTTTTTAGCGGATATCTACTATCCTTTTCTTGAAACAGATAGTACATGCATTAATGACAATTGTTTGTCTAATCAGGTTTCCAGAGGTGGCTGAACTCATACTTGTTTGGTGGCTTGAAATTTGGGGCACAATAAGAGCTGGAATTCTGTCACCACAGACTTCCTATGTAGCTTACCTTGTTTACAAGTTGGAAGATGAATTCGGGTTTCATTATCGACCCTCAGAGATTTCAGTTGGAGTTTCTGGTGTTGAATTCGACAAACGATTTGCATTTTTGGTGCCAGATGGTAGACCTCAACGGCGTAATCGCTATGTGGAGTCAGATGATGATTATGAGGAGCCAGTTTATACTCCGCCCTCTGATGTGGTTAGGTGTTTGCCGGAGGATGCTTCTACTCCCTTGCAATCTGATATTCAACGTCCTAAACTTAGAGATGACGGCTGGTTTGAGATACAATTGGGTGAGTTTTTTACTGAAAATGAAGATGATTGCATATTAATGAGTATGAAAGAGGTGAATGACAGTGTATCTCAAAAAGAAGGCCTTATTGTTGAAGGAATTGAGATAAGGCCAAGAATGGGTTAATTATCACATTTTTTAGAAAATATTTTTGACATACAGCTACCATGTATTCCGAATAGAACATGTTTCTTTTTGGAGCACTCCTCCATTTCAAGTATGTTTTGGTGCTATGGTAACTGGCTTGTTGTGTATAAACCCATACTAGACTTTATTGTTTCAGAACCATAATCATATAAACAGGTTAACAAACTAGGCTTGCAATTTCCATTTCAGAAAACTGCCAATTATTAGTGAAATGCTCAGTGAATTAGATGACATGTTTGACCAATTAAAACCCACCATGTAGTAAAAAAGCATAAGTGCAGAAAATATATGAACTTCAGTTTAAACAATTGTAAGCATAAGATGCAGAAGACAAGTTATTTTTCAAGAATCATCCTTGTTTTACTGTTGAGAAGTTCATAGTTGATACTAACAAGCAATACCCAGTGGCGAAGCTAGATATTTCTCCAAGGGTGTTCAAATTTAAAAGAAATGAAAAAAATTTCCGGCAAAGGGTGTTCAATATGTGTTACATACCTCTAAAACGTAATATTTTACTATGTACACAGTGCAATTTTTGGACGAAGGGTGGTCAGCTAACCACCTTATCACCATGTGGCTTCGCCACTGTCAATACCATGCCGTGTATAGCATAATGATGCAAAATTTTTATTATGGGGGATTGAGTCATAGTTGCTTGGTTGATTGTTCATGTTGTATTGAGAGAATAATTTACATAAGAATCTGAAGAACTGTACATGTATATAGTCGTGTTAAAACAAAGTGACCATTTTCCATGCTTTGCTCCCATGGAAAATTTAAATATTATAGTGATTAATCAGGAAGAAGAAAATTACTGGTTGCTCCTGGTGATCAATTCTACATTAAAGATTCAATACCAAAAAGGTTGCTTTCAGGAGCAGGTGATATTGCTTTTGCTTGCATGTCAAACAGCCACCAGTTTCCACTTACTTGCTCAGTAAAATATATGCAATTGGTCCTGCATCCTAGCTTGCTGCCATTAATCCACATACAACATTCTTCCTCCACAAACAATGTTCTATGCCCAAGGCTTTCCATCTTAACCCACAACAGTTTTGGAATATCGAGCCTGTAAACTTCAACATCATCCACTTTTTTTATGGATCTTTTAGAGATCAAGAAAATCAGTAATATCTCCCCTTCTGATTCAACTAAAATTTCCCTGAATTGCCTTGAAATAACAGAAGGAACAGCCCTGCTTGAACTCATCTCAGAGACTCTAAGGCTAGAATCAACTTCTTCAATAACTGCAAGTGTCCCCTGCAAACTCAACGCGTAGAATTTTCTATTAAAGCCAATGGCATTTATGAACTGCAAATGTTCACCTGAGCCAAAGGGGTCAGTGAGGTTACAGTCTTGCTTCCTCCACACACGTTCTTTTCCGGCCCTCGTTTCACAGAACACAAAAGCTGGAGAAGCAGCACCTGTTAGCACCATAATCATACAAGTTTTTCCATAATCATTGAGACCTATGGGTTGAAATGTAGATAAAGTTGCAAACTTGAATGGAACGCGGGTATCCCAAGATGGAAGGTGACAGTAGGTCTCTCTGTAGGATTTCCACAATAAGATATCATCCGGACAGCGTCCAACTGCTATTAGTGAACCATGAGAGTGACCCTTGAAATATATCCAAGGGTCCTTCCATGTCCGCGATCTTCTACCATAAGGCCAGTAATATCCTATATGAAACCAGATATGAAAGCAGTGAGAATGATTCTCGTTTTTTTGAATTTCAGTGAGTTGTGGCCATAGGGATTTTCTTATTGGGATACATTTTTTAGAGTGTGCTGATCTCCATGACTTGGTGACACCACCAAAACTGATGTTTTCCATTAGACTCGGTTCATTTGAGATTAAGCTGGTGAGTTCTTTGGGAAGATTTGGCCATGGCCTTGGGCTGTTATTGGCTTCTTTCTTTGGTGAACTTTGATTCTTATCCTTCTTGACTTTTTGAACCATGCGCTTTTTTTTTTTTGTGTGCAGAAATGGGAGCTAGAGAAGGAAATGGTATGGGAATATAGCTTGAGGCAGGCTTAAAATAATCAAGATCAGATGTGGCCACCAAGTAACCGTAGACTCCAAGTTAGTTGATCTCTTGGTGCACAAGGTTAGTGGTAGTTTCTTTCAATTAAATAATTGAGTTGACCATTTAGATGCCTTATTAATATAACATCTATCTGGAACTCACTGTGAAAAAAGTAGTAGTGCAGAAAGTAATATATGGGCTCCAGTTTGAACAACTGTAATTTTGAGATGCATAAAACAAATTATTTTTCAAAGATCGTTTTAGTTCCGAAAAGTTCATAATTTGATAACAAGTAGCAGTAATCATGTCCTGCATGTAACAACATAAGACATCAATTTCTTCACTATGCTACCTACATTTCGATTCAAGGACAATCCACACTTTTTAAACATAACCTAAGTGGTCTGAATTCAATGCCATTATTTACAATTAGCTACTCATCAATAACATGGCATCATACCAATTTAGTCTTTGTTTTTGGAGTATATAAATTTAGGATCATCTTTGCTAATGAAATGTGTTAATAAAAGCATCAAGGGAGTCAACAAAAAGTTAAAACTATGGAGAATCACTCCATTCAAGGCAAGTTGGAGTAAGATTGAATATGTAAATTGCAAGTTTAGCCCCCTTTGAAGGGGAGGTGGAGGAAATGAAAACTCAGCCTATTAAAAGGAATTCCTTCAAATCACAACTTGATCTCTACTACTTGTTGTATACAACAACAACAACAACCCAGTATAATCCCACTTAGTGGGGTCTGGGGAAGGTAGTGTGTACGCAGACCTTACCCCTACCCTCGGGTAGAGAGGCTGTTTCCAAATAGACCCCCGACATCCTTCCCTCCAAGAACTTCCCACCTTGCTCTTGGGGAGACTCGAACTCTCAACCTCTTGGTTGGAAGTGGAGGTTGCTTACCATCAGAGCAACACCAGCTGTTTATTTTATTAGCCTTAGGCTCCAAGAATCAAGATAGTTGACTTCTTCATAAATTATTTTTGTATATTCATATATATCCAACTGATTAACAAAAACAAAAACAAAAAATAATTTATGAAGAAGTTAACTATCTTGATTCTTGGAGCCTAAGGCTAATAAAATAAACAGCTGGAACAGGGAGACTTAGACTATAAATGTATTTTTTGGATTGTCAGATAAGCTCCAGAATTAGTCCTTGTTTCCTTTATCCATTATCTATACATGGCTCCAAATGATAGGAGGAAACAGAAAACTTCATCTAAAGAAGAGCCTGCTTATGTGGAACCATGGCGAAATCTTCCTGAAAAGCTACTCAACTTTCTCAAAAAGCAACCAACACATTCAACTCTAGCAAAATCTATAGGTTCTGCTGGTGTTTCTAAATCATGGAGATTTGTATCCAAGAAATGTGATTCCATCGCACAATCACCATGGCTTGAGCTTTCAAATGAACCCCAATACTATTGCAAGACTCAGCAGCATTCCTTCAGCCTCTCATTTGAAGAAGCCGGTTGCTATTGGTGGCATGGTAGAAGAAGGCCGCGTTATGATCCTTGGAAGCATTTTCATTACTTCTCACCTTGGTTGAATGGAGAAAATATACCCATTGATTGCTGTTTTCTGAATACTTCCAAAGGCTATGCTCATTGGGCTACTTCCTCATCCAATGCTAGAAAATCATTTATGTTTCCCTTTCTAAATTCTTATCCTTACTACTCTCCTTTTGTTGGTAGTGGATACTGTTGCTTTCCACCATTTGTGGTTTATGAGTTAGGAAAAACCCAAAAATGGATGAAACAAGAAAGCAGTGAAAATGGAGTTATTGATCCGAATGATCCAAAGGCGCAACTGATACAATTCAGTAATGCCATTATCTTTGAAGGGAAGTTTTATGCACTAAGTTTGCAGGGGACTCTGGCAGTAATAGAAGAAAGTGATGAATCTCAGTTTCAACTTACGCGACTAAGTAGAAAACAAGCCATTCCTTCGAGCTACTCAAAGCATTTCATAGAGTGCTTTCTTGAGTCTAATGGGGAAATTTTGCTCATTTTCCTAATTTCAGAAAGATCAAACAAGATGGTGGACAAAGTAGAAGTGTTTAAGCTGCAGATTGAAGATTTGTCATGGTTAAAGCTGGACAATCTCGGAGATAGAACGCTATTTGCGGGGATTAATTGCTCTGCTTCAGTGCCTGCAAGTCAAGTTGGCTGCAGAAATAACTCTGTCTATTTTACTCATAAGGGAATTGATGGTTGGAGACAGTATGATATGAGAAGTGGTTGCATTTTGCCCTGTTATGATAGTGCTGGTTCTGAGATAAAAATTCCAGAGTGGGAGGATCCAGAAACTAAAAAATCGTTACGTCGACGTCGACGATATTGAAACATATGTTTCTGTCCAGTATCTCGTCTATGTTTTGCTATTATTATGACATGTTAGTAACTTTGTTATTGTGTGAAATAAAAGTGAACAAAAAGTCTGACTTGTTTTGAGAAGCTTTACCTATTTTGAACAGAAATTATAATTCCCATTAATCTTGGAATCTGTTGTCGAGACAAGAAAATTTTCGTGATTTATGCGCAAGTTTCAGAAAGTAATCTTGCAGCCGTATTGTTCATCCTAATCTTTATGTTTGTTTTTTATATTTTCTTTTTAAGATGATTTTTTGGGAGTGAAGAATTTATTGGTTATGAGTTGACTTACTGATATTCTTGAACTGATTAGTTGGAGTAATTAGCTATATTGGTTCTAGTTGAGATTTGCTCTTGTATTACTATTAAATTACTTAATTACCAGGAAACTTGTGTCCCAAGAAGTCAACTATTTTGGATTTTGGATGCTAAAGCAAGAAGTCGCTCAACCATATTCACAAACAAAATATAGTCGAAATTACCTGCTTATACAATAAGCGACGTACTGTTAAATAGTTCCAGGGGTATTTTTATAAGAGAATTTTTCGCAAAGCACCATCTTTTAGTCCTAATTATCAATTAATAGAAACCCTTTGCTATATTACGTCCTA